AACTTAGTGTTAAATTGTACGATAAACGTGATGACTTTGACTTTCCGATTGTTAACTTTCCATTTATTAGTAGTAACATTCCAATATCACCAGCTTATGGAGTGTTTGTGTCTCAACTAATTCGTTACGCGAGAGCTTGTTCATTTTATTCTGATTTTTTAAGTAGATCGAGGCATTTGTCATCTAAGCTTCAACTACAGGGATACTTGCGAACTAAACTTATTAAAACCTTTAACAAGTTTTATGGGCGTCATATTGACTTGATTGGTAAATATAACATGTCTCTCTCGGCTATTATTCTAGATATATTTAATTGACGCGTATACAATCTCCCTGATTATGTCTGTCTACTACATCGTTAACACTGTTCATCACGTGCATTTTGCATACCGATAGTCTATTGGCCAATCACGCCTAATAGTTTGGATGCAGCTATGGCGGGTGTGGCGCCAGACAGGGTAAGCTTACTCTTCCGGACACCTGTTACCACTGCTTGTCGTGTATTTTGTACACGGCACAGTCCATATGCTGATTACACTATTTTGCCTTATTACACTATTTTGCCTATACCGTTTTTTTAGGACTTCGAATTTTGTCTAATGATTTGGATTGTTCGTACTTGGTTTTATTTTATGATATACATTGGCCGCCATTTATTTGAGACCGTTTACCAATAGCTGGAGATGGTAGGTATATATACCATATTTAAACATACTTGTCTTGGGTCCAGAAACTGTGCTAGAAAAACAATGTCGCAAGAAATAAACAAGAAATAAATGTCTTAAATATTTCGTATAAGGTAATTTAAGAGTCAGTGAGCAGTTAAAAAGACTAGTATATGTCCAGTTCTGAATCAGAATTGGATGTTTTGTCCAGGGGTCATGATCAGAATCATTAAGGTCATCACGAGATGCAGTGTCATGGTCAGATAAAGAGTTACCGATAAAGAAATGAAATGAAATGGGGTTTAACGTCCTACTGTTCTGCTCCTATACTGGGCTAATGAAGACGGGCATACGCCATACAGTGTGCTATGAGGGGAAATTTTGCCCGGGCCGCGGCACTATCGCCTACTCTTGTATCGAATTCCAACTGCCAAGGGATCTTTTACGTGCATTCCAATGTATACACGAGACCTCGGTTTTTCGTCTCATCCGAAGGACTAGACAGCTGTCCTTGTCAGTCCCTCCGTCCTGCATCACTGACAAGGGGGATCCACGCCGGAAAATCTGGATGAACATTCTCGGCCAATGCAGGGATCGAACACCCGACCTCCAGGCTAGCGAGCCAGCGTCTTACCCACTTAGCCACGTGATCCCATTTACCGATAAAAGATGACCGAAGAAAACCGCCCGTGATGGGGTGAATAAATATTATTGAAAGCAAATATTTCTTCTTTTAAGTCCCAGTTCTACTTCCCCGGCCGTTCTAAGTCCACTTCCCCGGTCTTTCTGTGAGAGAATCGTAACATACGTTGATAAGCTAAACTACATTGTATGTTATTTTTCTATTGGAAAACGAAGGTGTAACTAAGGGACCGGTTAATTGTAAAACGGAGGTAACTAAGGGGCCGGTTAATTGATCTACATAATAATTCGTTACCCTGTTGTAATAGATAAACCAAAACAACTATATATATCATATAACATGTTATTGTTTCAATACCTCCATTAAGAGTAGCAAATAACAAATATAATTTTCATAAGTTTTCGTTTAGTGTCAACGACAATATGAATTGTAACACAAAAAATCTCATATATGTCTTGGCTTGCAATGGGTGTCTAAATTTTTACATAGGGGAGACGTCCACGCACCTACGGGATAGAGTACGCAATCATCGACGGGATTGTAATATTGAAAATGGGCCCTTATTTGTAAATAGACATATCTTTAAATGTGCACAACACCTACAAGTAAAATTCCAAATTTTTCCTTTTTATAAAATGAAAGTCGATGACACCACGAAAAGGAAATTAATGGAAAACCATTTTATTAAAAAATACATTCCTCGACTTAATAGTGAATAAGTAACAATTGGCCATTAGCTTCATTAATTTTCTTAAATCTATCCCATGATTATCTTCCACTCATTGTTCCTAAATTGTCTATGTCTTTGTAGCTCAGGAGGGACTTATATGGAAGATTAGGGGTTGTTTTTTTGCAAACTAAAAAATCATTAAATAAAGTTTTTATTATTATTATTATTATTAAAAATGAAACCAAAGCAGACGAACTTTTATTATCTGCACGCGATATTATCGAAAACGAGGCGTCAAGGAATGTGACACATATGTATAGTTAACCATTGTGATATAATATAACCTGTGTTATTGGTGACAATTTCAAAACTGTAACCCCACAGGCGTGTAGGATAAATCGGAATCAATCCATGTGGTCAGATGACCACAAGCTAGAGTCCACTGCCGTCCTAATCTCCCTGTCCGTCCTTAAAACTCTTACTACATTTGAAGCAGCTTGTGATACTTTAATGTAAGGTAACCTAATACAAGGGGACGCAACTCTCAGAATAGGAACCGAAACAGGAGGCAGACCACCATTAATTTCCCCATTGACTTCAATGTTAATTCTGGCCTATTTGCCCACCTCCAACTTTTCCCCAAATTTTCGTTGGGCTGAATGCTTTCCACTACAGACAGAGGAACAAATGGTCATGTCTTTGCACTAAAATTTGTATGAGGTTGACCACCAAAATTTTGAGATACACAAACTTGAAGAAGCATACTAAAAACATGTAACTAGTTGCCGTACATATCGCCGTAGCTAACCTGATAACCCTCTTATCCTTCCGCCTCAAAATCATGAATATTTACCAAAACCTGGCAGAAAATGTTAATTCAAACCCTCTTCATCCATTCTAGACCAAAAAATCAACACAAATGGGCATGCAAAAGGGGAGAAAAGAGAGAGAGAGAGAGAATTGCTATAAATAGACGAACTACAATTCGTGGGTACCGAGATGAGATGATGAAATTTAATGGTGGTCTGCCTCCTATATGGTTTTATAAGTTCATATATCATCAAAATTCTTTTCTTTATAGCTTCACATTTATTTTTGCAACATTATTATAATACAGAATCAGAAAAAAATAATTACTGCAGAAATGGTGACCCTTTAAAGTTATGTAGTGTTTTGTATACCGGATTGCAGCTCAGGTCCATGGGCCTTTTGTTCTAGAATTGAAGATTCTTTCTTAATTTTGTCGAAATGTGAGTTCTGCGAAAAGATTTAAAGAGTTTCAGACAAGTCACATCAAAAATATTCAAAATATTGGAATATTTTTCAAAAATTGACTTTCTTTTACCTTTTTCTACAAAATGGTCCATTTTTGACACTTTGTATGCCTCAAAATGCTAATATTTCCCTATTTCTGGGAACAGTGAGTAAAAATGGACGGGGTTATTCCAAAGCCGAAATTAAGAGGAAAAAAGTACCATTATTGTGTTCTGTACAACTATTATGAGGGTCCAGCAAGTAACAGAAATAAAGACCACCAATTGTCTAGAGCTTTTCTAGCGAAAATGGAAGATGAACTAGCAGCGTGTGGCTTTACCGATTCGTATTATTTTGAGAAAATTCTTCCCGGAAGTAATTTATTTGAAGTGTTCACGGCTGGGTTGATTGAACCATCCGAGAAAGTAGTGGTCATTTTAACTGAAGGCTTTAGGGTCAATTACTGGCATAAATACACCGAGCAAACATCGTTTAAGAACTTGATCGATGGCGGTAAAAGTACCACTTTCCTGCCTATTGTTATAGGTGAAGGGAAGGATGATATACCAGAAGAATTTGGACTAATTATCGAACAAATCTTATATTTTGAGAAGGAATGGGAAGTAGATGAAGTTAATTGGGCTCGGTTGAGAAATTTTTTCCTTGAAAACAAATCAGTTTCAGCACTGGATCAAAGATCTGAAGCAACCATTACAGGTAGGGCCTACAAAGAACCGCATCACGCATAAACAAACAAATCCCCAGAAGACAAACTCACAGACTGGACATACAGCATACGGACATTGGGGGACACCTCACTTTCCCCACATTTATTGTTTAGAGTCTGGGTCCACCAGGCCATGACTAATTAATCAACAAAGGGGGTTTAAAGTATAGTCTATAACCATTTGTGATTCAGAGGAGCTATATATAGATCAACTGATAAACTGTGATTAAATATCAGTGGTTTATTTATTTTTGTCAAATTAATTATTACATCAAAACTACTCACAATGTAAACTTATTAGTGAACTGATTTCACCAATTTGCCCAATCTACTGTGGGAAGTGTTCACCAGTAACAAAAATTTACACCAGTGATACTAATCGATTAGAACAGACTATAGTCCTACACCGGCAGTCTAGTAACCTTCGCATCCTTTATCAAAACAATCAAATGTGGGGAAAGTGAGGTTAAACCGGACATTTTAAGAAATAATAGGCCTAACATCATTAATACAAAGTAAAGCGAATTGTTCTTGGGACTGGTTGTAAGCATCCACTACGATGCACAGTAAAGCAATCTATGATAAACAATGGAATCGTCTTTTTTAAGTGTGTGTGTGTGTGTGTGGGGGGGGGGGATATGTTTTCATTGATATAAGTTATAGCTATTTTATCAATAAATGAACATTGGTCATAATTGGGGGTCAGGATCAATAATTCCCATTGGCAGATCACCAACCTGACAGATCAGTAAATCTGTATATAATTTATCGTCATTACTCAATCAGCTTCCAAAAGACCAAAGTCTAACAACTGAAGCTCCAGTACTTGAATAATGTCCATGGATGCACTGTAAATACGCTATTCGCCCTGATGAACAGGATCACCGGTAGGATGGGGCATTTATTTTTGCACCGAAGTTCGCGCGCGCGTGTGTGTGCTGGGGGGGGGGGGGGTAAAGTGCACCCTCTAGATTCGGTAATATTCCTTAGCTGTGGTTCATAACGAGAATTGTATTTTATCTCTTTATATCTGTATTTCAGTTGAGGAAACCCACGATGCTGATACCCTCGCTGAAGATGGTGCACCCGACATTAACAACCTTAGTGTCAGTAGTGGCATTGAAATCCTACCTACACCAGCAATGGGCCAAGGTGTGTCTAACACTAGCAAACCTGGAGTCAGTAGTGGCATTGAAGACCAAGGTCAAGCAGATAGACCGCCATGTGGATCTGCAAGTATTTCACGCCCAGGTGGAGTTGCAAGGGGTGTATCAGACGGATTACCTACAATCCAAGTTATTTCCAATCTCGCTGGCCCTAGAGGGGACACAGCTGATGCTGCCATGAGTTTCCCAGACCTTCCGCTGACAAGTCCCGATAGTATTGAAGAAGATCGTCCACACCAGAGACTATTGTACTACACGAAAATACACCGGTTGAAACGCATATCTGGAAACGTATTGGACATGAAAAAGGGCTCGGATCTGAGTCAAATATAGATACCACCGTGCTTCAAGGAAGTTCTTCAGGGGATATGAAAACAACTACTCAGTCCAGTGAACAGAAATCGTCATGTGAGTAGAGAGGGAGGGGGAGGTAACGTCCACTCGACACAAACCAAGTCATTTTGGGACTAACATATGTTTCAATTTTATTTCAATAATTCGCTTCCGCCTAGCAATAGGAGAAAACCGGAGGACAGGTGACCCCACTCCTTGTCACGTACAACCGGGGTATCGAAACCACGCCAGTTGACTCAATGATCCAACCCCTCCTTGTGAGTATAACAACTAATATAATATACTGCTTGACAAATGGGGCCCAAAATTGACCTTAGACAACACCTCTATCCAATTAATGATTTGATGACATGGTAAATGTCTCCAGACTGCGGAGGAATCTTATCGAACGTAATTTATTTACAACCACTAGCATTATCTCCCTTTAGTCCTACATTCACCAGGGACGTTCACTCTGTCACTCAGGAGCATGCTTATATTAACAGCTCTAACTTGGAAATGAACTGAAATGGGGTTTAACGCCCTACTGTTCAAATCCGATGGGGATAATGCAGACGGGCTGAGCATTGGATGATCTCTTTCCATTTTATAATACCTATTATTTCTGAAGGCCTGGTTGGTATTTAACCGACGTTTCTACAGTAAGTGACATCGCATACAACCTACGGCATAACTGGAACTATAAGAAATAGTATTGTCACAACTGGCACTATAAGAAATAGTATTGTCTCCTTCATTTGGAAGAAAGTAGGAAACTATTTAAATGAGTTTGTTCGTCACAATTTTTAGGACACAATCAGGCTGCTTCTAATTGATGTAAATATTAATTTTGTACTGGCCGTGCCTATGATGTAGATACTAATTTAGTACTGGCCAGTGGCCATGACTATAAGGTCGGTACACCACAACTTATAAACACGGTAGAATATTGGCAGTTGGTTTGGATGTTCTTACCCGAATGCCGTGGCCACGGTGGATTATGGTATATTTTCATAAGTTCGAATCCCCGGTTGTACGTGACAATGGGTAGGGTTGCCTGTCCAACCTTGTGGATTTTTTTCCGGGTCCTCCGGTTTCCTCCCACTGCTTAAGACCCCTACGCGCAAGCGAATTATTGAAATAAAATTAAACCATATGTTAGTCCCGAAATGACCTAGTCTGTGTCGAGTGGACGTTAAACTCCATTTCTCTCTCTCTTTTATTTTTTCATAAAACTCCTTAAAAACCATGAAAATATTTGCCGAATCAACGTCTTATACAAAACTGTTGTCGACAGCCTAATATATGTGTTAGCTTGTCAAAAGCTTGCATGCTTTCTTTACAATACAGAACAAAATCTATAAATTTAAACTTTTTATTTTTCGATAATATTATGACTGGTAAATAAATTGATACATATCGTATTAATCTTTTTGACCCAACAAAATAGATTGCCAGGGCAGTGGTCTGATGTGTTTTGGTCTTTTGATGAGAGATGGAAACCTAAATTTGGTCGGAGCTAAATTAAATTTTCGTGTTTAGGGTGTCTTTGGTTGGAGTGATGGGGCTACCCCCCCCCCCCCGCGGTCGCTTATAGGTTCATAGATACACGTAATCCTGTCTTACAGCTATCAGTGTATAATGCTATAGATGCATCCTATATGATGAGCTGGCCGTTCTCCTATAACTGTTTTAAAATGGATAATAAACAATAAATATATCAAAAGTTTCAGTAAAATTACTTGATTCTGGGCGCTGTTATGTAAATGGGTACATAAAATAGAACACGATAGCGTAAAAGAGTAAAAAGCACCATTCTGCCCGGACCAGTTTACGTTACCACGTCCTATGTAAATGATAAACGCGCTATCGAGCTCGTGTGATATGACGTCACACGTAGACTTATAATGCATGTGAATTTATAAGTTATAAAGGCCAGCCTTTCGCATTAACTCTGTGAAACAGACTGGTATGTGATAAGGGGTATAGTGTAGGGTTGCGTATCTAACCTCGTGGGTTTTCCTCCGGATCCTCTGGTTTACTCTCCCACTGCCATAGACTCCAAACGCGCATGTGGAGTAATCTCTCCTCTCTCCCATCACCAGCGAGATTTTATTTGTTATCCTAGATTATATGTGAGTGGTATATCGTTGACCTATATGTAAACAATAATCGGGGATTTATATACGGAAATAAGGCGTTGGGTTTTCCCCGGCAGTAACAGAGAAAATGGCGTCGCTTGTAGAAATACCATGTCTATATAATTGTTTATTTGTAACCGATGAACGTCGAGACAGTTTAAAATTTTGTTTAAAAGCAGAGGAAATGTTAAGAGATATTGGATGTACCCAGTGTTTTATAGAACAGAGGGATGCGATACCCGGGTCGTTGTTAATAGATAGTTTTGTTGAAACAGTAGATCTTTCAGAACGCATAGTCGTTATTCTCACACACGACTTTCAGCGAGATGGTTTTACCCGATTTAAATTACAGTTTTCATTTCATACTAATATACAAAATGGCACCAGTGATCGTGTTATATTTATAGCATTGGGTATTCGAAGAACAGAAATTGAACCAGGTTTTGGCCTTAGACTTCATAAAATAATTTATTTTGAAGACAATTGGGTCGACGATATGATCGCGTGGAATGCATTGAAATCTGTTTTTACTGGTGGACAAGAATCATCGTATACTGAAAGTAGTAGGGATGATTATGATGGTGATGATAAAGATGGTGATGGGGAGGAGGACGACGATGGAGCGGATGATGACGATGTCGAGCAAATGGGACATAGACCTAAATCTACTACAAGTATGTATTATAATGACATTCACGTGACTGGCCGTGTCTCTTTTGATGTAAAAATAGACAAGCGGGGGTACCATATCGGGTTTATTTATAATTCTGGTCACGGTCGACGGAAATCATTAAATGTGTGTTTTCTTTCCACTTAGCCAAAGAAAAACAGAGAGAGAGATGGTGTTTAACGTCCACTCGACACAAACTAGGTCATTTCGTCACTAACACATGGTTCAATGTTATTTCATTAATTCGCTTGTTCGTAGGGGTCTTTAGCAGTTGGAGGAAACCGGAGGAAACCGGAGGACCCGGAGAAAACCTACCAGGTTGGACAGGCGACCCTACTCCTTGTCACGTACAACCGGGTAATCGAAAACACGCCCGTTGACTCAATGACAGACCTTATGATACAGCGCGCACGTGCTAACCATTCAGCGGCGCCAACCACCCCCACGAAAAACAATATCTGTATTTACTGTTTCTAGGGTAGATCTGTTGGAATAAAGCTTAAGGTTGAGGTAGCCTAATGTCTCAATAATGAAATTTGTCGGCAAAAAAGCACGCACGGTCGAGTTGTAGGCCCTCGGAAATTAGAAACAAAGTTTAGGGTCCGCGATTTTGCGTCAAAAAATAGGATCGGTCGGGCAAATATTTATTTTTATTTTTGGCTCAAGAATTTAACAATTAATAAAGACCGAGACTGGTCATTTCTTTCCCTGTTGATTCTTTATTTTCACAAATAGCCTAATCACTCACATACAATTTACAAAGGTGTTGCGAAGACTAATACCTCTGTAAAATATGACTGCTTTATCATGTGACGTCATATCATGCGGCATCAATCATTGGCTGAATGGCGCGGGCATTGTTTACATAAGACGCTACTGGTTCGGGCAGAATGGTGCTTTTTACTCATTTTAGATACCCATTTACACTAAATAGGAAATATTTTTTACCTACATATACTTGAAACACCTTTATTTACTTTTCTAATGTTTAAAAAAAAATGTTTTAGAATTTAATTTGCAGAAGGAAAACTCATTAAGTCGCATCGATGTCATCAGTGACTGTTGCGGACTAGAGAATATTCACTACTGATCAGTGGGATAATTTCTATACAGTTTCTTACGATATCACATAAAATTGGTTAACCATGCATACCACATAAAATTGCTTACCAAGATTTTGCCTGTTGTCATACTAATAGAAGATGGTATTTGTGTCATCTGTATTTAGACGTGTGAAATAGCTTTTATTTATTTAACGTCCGCTTCCACCGAAGTTATATCGCAGACAAGATTATTTTGACTCCAGTTGTTTTATACAGTTTCTTTTAGATGATACCAGCTGGGAATTCATCTTTTAATATTTGTTTACATCTTTCGGTCACATCGTTCTTTCTGTTAATCCAGGGTATTTCCCTCCCATTATTCACGTTTGTAATCAATTTGCAAACTATATCCTGAGTTGAAAGGGTAGAAAATGATCTATGGGGAGATTACTCTAAGTTGCATGACGAAACATGGACACAACTCACCAAAATAAAGGGCTAAAGTTATTTTCAGTCGTTCTCTCCCTTTTCCTTTTTCCCCCTTTTGCAGGGTTTGAAAATAAATTCTCTGCCAGACTTTGGTGAATATTCATGATTTTGAGGTGGAAGGATACAGGGGTTGAAAAGTTGGTTAGGTTGAAATGTGGAGCGGAAAATTGCATGTTTTATTGGTCTTTACTTCCCGTTTGTGTATCTCAAATTTTCTATGAACCACACGTGCTTTTGGACAAGAGGTTGCCACATGTTGCTCCATCTGTGGTAGGAAGCGTTCTACCCAGCGAAAATTTGGGAAGAAGTTAGAGCCGGTCTAAAAGACGAGAATTAACATTAAAGTCAATGGGGAAATCATTGGTGATCTGTGGCCATATGGATACAGGCCGCCATTAATTTCCCGATTGGGTAACCAGCGTAGGGATTTAAAGGAGCTAAATCACTAATATTTGAGACCTAGAAATTGACCCAAATGGGTCGCAACGCATATAATAATGTAATCTGATTTTATATAAACTGATTTACATTGAATTGTTTCCGTTTTGACTCTAATTTCAAAGCAGTTATGTCCAGCGAAATACGGCATGAGTCTCAACCGTATAGCAATTTCTAGCGTCTAGTTATTCCAATCCATTGCGCATGCTCTCCAGATAAGATATGGCGTCACCGTTTGACATGAGTTGTGGAATATGTCTAGCCTCGTTCTTTCTGGTCACTTGTTACAAATGACGCTGGAACATACTAGTGGTTAAATGTTTATTTTATCTTAAATATTGGATATGAGAAGCCTAATTTTTCCTGGTAAGATCACAACATCAATGTTGATTTGAATTGACAAATAATTCGTATTTTCAACGTGCAAGACTTTGGATGATTACAGTTAGAGACTTAGCTACTTTAAACAGTATTGGTATCAAAATAGTGGTCATAGAAATCTCTTCTTACAATTGGACGATTTGCCTGTTCTTTGAAACCAATCGATAACTTTATTAAGTTCTATTGCAGTAGCGATCTCGATCTGGGTCAATCGCTTCGCTCCGACTGGTGTATCACGATTGTCCAAAAGGGGTCAGGGGGGGGGGGGGACAACATTTAAAATAGGATTTTGTGTTGATAAAAGGGTGTGTCTCTTAACCCTTGTCGTTGCACGTGGGGTCTCGTCTCCAAGGACCCCATGCGCATGTTTTATAGTGTTTTGTAATAACTACTGGGCACTGCTTTCTGAAATGTAGTGACTTTGTCTCCAATACATTTTTACACGTAGCGAAGACATCGGTATTCATCTGCTTCCCACATGCAGAGTTATGTTACATGCAAATCAGGCCCAACGCTTGACAGGAACCGAATCGGACCCCTAACTTTTAACTCACAGTAAGGATTTTGCAAATTTGTAGTGTGATACCATATTGCGTATGCCAGAGTGTTCTCTCTTTTAGCCCGTCTTCATTAGCCCAGTATAGGAAGCAGAACAGTAGGACGTTAAACCCCATTTCATTTCATTTCTCTCTCTTCGATTCTTCTACAACCTTTGTCAGTAGGATGCACTATTCCTGTATAATAATGGAAACAAGACTTTAGAGAGAGGGGGAAACTGGGTTTAATGCCCACTCGACAAAAACATATGGTTTAATTTTATTTCAATAATTCGATTCCCCGTAGGGGTCTTTAGCAGTGGGAGGAAACTGGAGGACCCGGAGAAAACCCACGAGGTTGGACAGGCGACCAGTATAGTATAGTAGCAGAACAGTAGGACGTTAAACCACATTTCATTTCACTTCATTACTGTCTTTTAGCATCTGCATGTTACAGATACCAAAAATTAAATGATGAATTCCAAATAGTCAATGGTTTTTGTATCAAGCGTGAATTGCCATTTTACCTCTCTTTATCACATAGTACACATAGTAGCAATTTTGTGAGAATTATTAAATCTTTTCCATATGACACTAAAATGTTTTTGGATAACAGTTTAGTTAATTTTCAGATGCGAAATATAAATGCAAATAAAAACCAAACCGCTGCCTTTTAATTCAAATATATATGTACGTAAAAAGCTTGAATGATACCTGCTATGTGATTCACACAACGTGCACCTGAAAGGGTTAACCAATCGATGGGAGCCACGAGCCTATGCTCACTACTCCCTGAAGGGAGCCACGGTGGCTCAGTGAGTAAGACGTTGGCTCGCTACCCTGAAGGTCCCGTGTTCGATCAATGTGTTGACCGCGAAAGTTCATCGGTTCTTTCCGTCGTAGTTCCCCGCTTTTCTCGGACGGTCTGGCAAGGGACAGCGTCTAGTCAGTCGTTCGTTGGCTTGCACTTAAAAGAACACTTGACAATATTAGATACCGATATGCGAGCGTCGTCATTATCCCAGTCGAACAGAACAGTAGGACGTTAAACCCCATTTCATTTCATTCTCTGGCGTGTATTTAAATTGCAGTTGTGAATGTTTTTATTTGGTGTTTTGTTTTCAGGAAAGAAAATGGCAGTAGGCCTACATTTTATGAAGACTGGTGGACTGGTTGTAATCGTCTACTTTACATTAATTCTCATCTTAATCTTTACAGTAGGGTAGTTCTACCCCAGATCAGACGGCCTGTGGCAAAGCTAGTTTCATTTTGTTAGTATTGTTTTATTTATAGTCTGTAGACGACTAAATAGTCAGACTAATAACGGCTATATTTAGATAAAGGTCACTGTTATTTATATATAGTGAGGGACTGGATATTTGATAACTGTATGAATAGTATGTTGACAGACTCTTTCTAAGTTTTATAATAATATTGCTATCTGTCATATATTATGTTTAATTTTATAATTTGAAAGAAACCCATGTCTTGTTATTAAGCATACTATTAGTGAGTTTATATCCCTATTATATAATTTATATTGTTGGAAATGTACCATAATACATTGTCTAATATTATTGAGTATTATTATCTTCCTTTACTTAAATAGCTGAATTTGAATATATAGCTTTCAATTCTTATTTATATGCATATCATATAACTTATTAAACGTAACTAAATGATACTTTTGTATGTCAACTTAATCATTAATCACATTATGTCCATCTGTTAAATAATGTTGCATTTATATTGTTGACAATGTATACATATAAGGAGTGTATAGTTTATAATTTTGCATGGGTCAGTTGTTCCCACTGGGATATTCGTCTCCAGGGTTGAAGCGAAGCTCTAGATAATACACCTATAGTTCTTGGGGAATGCTCTTTGAGCGCACCTTTAGATACTAGCATCTAATGAACAGACTTTAAACTGCTTGCGGTTTATAAACAGATACAGCCTTTAGATGCTTGCATCTAATGAACAGACACAGACTTTAAATACACAGTATAGCTTTAAGCTATTGCACAGAAACAGAACAGATCACAGAACGGCTTGAGCTGGGACAGTTCGCCTCTTTATAAATAGTATAAAAGAGTTTTCCGAGTCCATTAAAACTTACCTGTATATATGTTATAATACATAATAAAACTTTATAGTTTTATACAGTTTTGTTCCGTTTGTTCGACGGGAGAGAGCCGAAAATAGTACAACTACTTTTTAGCTAGTCCGCCCTCTCCTCTTACGAGGCTCTACTTTAAACGGCTTGTGGGCGGCCAATAGATCACTGGTGGCAGAGAAATTACCTGAGTGTGGGTCCTGAGCAACAATTGCAGCAGAATTCCTCACACTACCATCCCGCTACACCATTTCGTGGCCAAAAACAGAAGAAGCGCCACGCAAGAACGCCCGTTCCTTTATCTAAATCTTACATAATGTATCTTTAAGCAGAGGCGATCAAGACGGCAGGTGGTACATCCAGCTCAGCTACAAAAAAAAAATAATGTAAAACAGCATTTTTTATGAGAAAAGTGTCACGGTCGTGTGCTTTATACGTTATGCTACCATACGTCTGACTTACCATATTTTTATTTTGTAAAATTCATATAGTGTTCATATATATTTAGCCAGGTGTGTCGCTATTGTTTCATGTGTTCCAAAGTTTGCCATTGGCAAAAAAAGGGTTGAGAACCACTGTGCTAGGTTCCCACTGTCGTGCGATGTGTAGGGATAGGATTGTCCCTATATAGTCCACAATCTGGTACGTTAGGGTTAGGGTTAGGGTTGGGTTAGGGTTAGGGTTAGGGTTGGCACGTTCGAATACTTTTCGATACGGTCATCACGATTGCCACGACTGACCGTAATATATTATAAGACCTGGTAGGATCATCACGATTACTCCAGGATTAAAACCACGATTTCAGTCGCAGTACGAATCGTGATAGTGGCAACCCAGCATTATCATCAAATGTCAACCAGAAGCATAATGTCTACCCAATCTGGAGAGTAAAACCAATCAGAACTGTTGATCAGTCATATATACGATAGTATGAACCCCACCAGGTACACCCACCACCACCCCCAAAAGATACATTGTCTCGTGATCCTGGCAAACCCCTTTCTGCATACAGTCGTGGAGCCACCCCTGTAAGGTGATTCATTTTAAGGTTTATCAAAATTTTTTATCAAAATTGGTTAACTGTAATATGTCATTTTAAGGTTCTATCAATTTTTTTTTATCAAAATTGGTTAACTGTAATATGTCGTAAGGGGGCGCGAGTGGAAGAAGGTTTGGTACCAGTTATTTAATGCAATCTGAGTCTGGTGTCAAGGCTGGATGAAATACTCTGATAAATACGGTAGGTTCGTTTTGCCAACTTGCCATAACGAGATCATCGCTAACGCTGCAGTGACGGCGCCAGGGGCAAAGCTGGGGCAAGGCCCAAGGTTAAGGGGGCAAAGGCACGAGCTTCAACTACGGGTAAGGGGCCCTCCCCCAGAAATTTTAGAAAAACAGGCTGCCTGATCACTAATCTATCCGACCCCAGAGAGGAAAGTGTCAAATGAACGAAGCCCCCGAAAATTTGAAACGTAGACTGCCGGAAATACAGTCTGGCAGTATTTCAGGCACTGATCGTCGAGATAAATAGAGCTTACCAGATACCGCCTGTCGCCAAATCACTAGTTTATCCGACCAGAGAGGAAAGTGTCAAACGGACGGAGTGAGTGCATCAAAGTGAATGAATATTTTCGCCACGATATTTTGTGAAATAGACTGCAGGAAATGCAGCCGGGCAGTATTTCAGAAATAGAGCTGACCAGATACTGTTCTTCGCCAAATCACCAGCTTATCCGAACAGAGAGGGAAATGTCAAATAAACGGAGTGAGTGTATCAAGTGAATGCATATTCTCGCCGCTTTGAACCTATACCCAAAACCATTGAGGATCGTAAAAAGCATTTCTCCAGCGGTTCACGGGTTATTGTTTATAATAGGTTTACAGCAGGATGGGCTTGGTAAGAAATCACTCTACAACATGCAAGTCTATGACTGAGTGGGGATGTGGGATTTAATCACCGTAGAAGGTATTGATTACCGAAACGTATCACAAATTATTGGGGGCGGGGGTGGGGGCAAATAGAGGGCAGACCAGATTTATGAGGGGACATTGCCGCCGCCACTAACGCTGCAATATACATCCACATTCCAGCTTTGATTGATATGGTACTTTTTAAAATGAAGAGAATGAAATATGAAATGGCTGTAATATGAGGCAAAGAAGGCTAGGCATTGGGTTTGTTTTGCCAAATTTACAGACTACATACTAACAAAAAAGTGGGTGTGACACTGCCCCAGGAGGTCGGAGCAAGCATCAAAATAAATAGTTGCTGTCTTTACGGTATAAGGAATAAATATGCAAAGTTCCAAGATGATCCATTTAGAATTGCAGCCTGTAGACAATAAATACAAAAAACGGGTGTGGCTCTGCCCGTGGGGGTTGGATATAGAATAATATAAATAGGTACCACCCTGTTATTGAAATGACAACATCAATAATTGCCGTCCTTAGGGTATAAGGAATAAGTATTCCAAGTTCCAAGATAATTCATTCAGAATTGTGGCCTTCGGGCGCTAAAGGCAAAACGTGGGCGTGTCTCTGCCCTTGGGGGTCGGGGCATTCACCAAAATCAATAGTTTACGCCCTTAGGCTATAAGGAATACATATGCCAAGTAAAAAGTTGATCCATTCAGAACTCCGGCCTGTAAACGATAAACACAAAAATTGGGCGTGGTTCTGCCCCTGGGGGTCGGGACATGCAGTCCTTAGGCTATAAGGAATACATATCCCAAGTTCAAAGACAATCAATTAGGAATCGTGGCCTGTAGGCAACTCACAGAGACACAAAGAACAAATGGGCGTGGCTCTGTCCTAGGGGTCGGGCATGCATCAAAAACAATAGGGATCATCCTTAGGGTATAAGGAATTCATACGAAATTTCTTCAAGACGATCGATTAAGAATTGTGGCCTGTAGGCGACACACAGACACACAAAAAGAAAATGGGCGTGGCTCTGCCCCTTGGGGTTGGGCATGCACCCCAAACGATAGGGATGTTCCTTTGGGTACAAAGAATAGGTATACAAAGTTTCAATTTGATACTTTAAGAAATGCGGTCTGTAGACGACACACAAACAAATACAAGAAATGGGCGTTGCTCTGCCCCGTTGGAATCGGGTATGCACCAAAAACAATAGGGATCATCCATAGGGTATAAGGAATAAGTGTGTAAAGTTTCAAGATGATCGCTTAAGAATTGTGGCCTGTAGGCGACACACAAAAAGAAAATGGACGTGGCTCTGCCCCTAGGGGTTGGACATGCACCCCAAACAATAGGGATGTTTCTTAGGGTACAAAGAATAAGTATGCAAAGTTTCATTATGATACTTTAAGAAATGCGGTCTGTAGATGATAAACAAAGAAATACCAAAAATGGGCGTGGCCCTTCCCTGGGGGTCGGGCATGCACCAACAACAATAAAGATCATCCTTAGGGTATAAGGAATAAGTATGTAAAGATTCAAGATGATCACTTAAGAATTGTGGCCTGTAGGCGACACACAGACACACACACGCACACACACACAGACAGGGGCGACGGCGTGGACGTATAAAAATAGAGGTTTTTTTTTAATATAAACCGGGGGCCTGTTTCACGAAATTTTAACTTAAGATAAAATCCAAATTTTAGTAGATACTTCAATTTTGATTGGCTAAGCACTAAAATCAATCTAAAATTATCCAATCAAATTACTAAAATTTGGATTTTATCTTAGTTAAAACTTCGTGAAACAGGCCCCGGGAAACCTGGTTAATGAAGACTGACATGCGCTACGGCGGCCAACTCTTCATTATTATATTTGCAAGTACCAATGGTTATTTTACGCCCACGTCAACGTGAGCTACCGCGGCTCACATAATATACTATTCACAAAAAGTAGGGGATATTTGATTTTTAAGTGTTATTAAAGTCACCTAATGAAACTGACGAAGAAACAAATGACAAAATGAAATGAAGTTCACATTCATCGATTTATTCCAAATGATCGTTAGTCTAAGTAAGGCACAGACTGACCATTATAAGGGTAAAATGATACCCGGGGTCAAACAGCAAAGTTACCACAGCATCACAACCAAGTCAGTAACGGGTAAATCCTCCTCTGTTTGCCAAACAAGCATTGATCCGACGTGGCATACTCCTAAAGAGACGTCTAAGGTCATTTTGGTCCAGATTGTCCCATTCCTGTTGCAACGCAGCAGCAAGTTCTTGGACATTGGCAGGACGTTGTTGACGTTGACGTAACCTCTGTCCAAGCATGTCCCAGACATGCTCGATGGGGGAGAGGTCGGGACTCAGTGCTGGCCAAGGTAATGTGGTGATGTTCTGTTGTTGGAGGTAACCTGTAACGATCCTGGCCCTGTGACATCTTGCGTTGTCATCCTGGAAGATGAAACGGCGGCCATGACGTCGTGCGAACGGCACAACATGGACTGCCAAGATGTTGTCCCGGTAGTATTGGCCTGTAACACGCCCTGCAACAACATGTAAAGCCGTTCTTCCAGCAACAGTGATGCCTCCCCACACCATAACAGAACCACCCCCAAATCGATCATGTCTGATGACGTTAACGTCTTGGAAGCGCTCGTTTCGACGACGCCACACCCTCCTACGTCTGTCCAAAAAATCAACAGTGAACCTTGACTCATCTGAAAACATCACATTGCTCCAGCGTCGATTATCCCAGTGTTGACGATCCCTACACCAACGACGTCTTGCCTGAATGTGATGATCTCTCAAACAAGGGATCACGCGAGGACGTCGGGCGCGAAGGTGACCCCTATGCAGTCGATTCCGAATCGTCTGGCCACTCACTCTCACACCAGTGTCTGTTTGAAGACGAGCGATGATCTGATTTGCTGTGATGACACGATTTCTCAAGGCCAAGGTACGGATAAATCGATCCTGGGCTTGAGTTGTCGCCCTTGGTCGACCTGAGCGTGGTCTGTCCTGTACAGATTGTGTATCACGGTATCTGGACCATAGCCTGCTTATGACAGACTGAGAAACATTCATCGTCCGCGCCACAACCGCCTGTGTTGTGCCGATCTGTAGCATGCCAAGGGCACGTAACCTTTCATTTTGGGTAAGCCGACGCATATCAAAATTTGTTTTCTGGTCACTAAAACAATTAAACTGATGTTTCCACCCTGGAATTCAATGCCACAATGACTGTAACATTCAAAGTCAGAGTCGTGCAAATCTTGGGTTGGATCCCCATGATGATCCCAAGCATCACCTGCATTCCATGCGGTAGCTATTGGTGCGTTTGGGCGTCACATGTAACTGGAAATGTTTCTTCTGTTAGGTTCTATAGTGACTTTTTTCGTAGTCATTTGCATATTTTAGTATTATGCCCCCAAAATCAAATATCCCCTACTTTTTTTGAATAGTATATTACAAACTGTCGTAATAGGATTCAAGATCGGACTTGTCTTTTCTAATATTATAGATATTACTATTCAAATGTTATAGTGTATCTTTGTATATATTTTATGATATAATTTTAGTTAAGGTAGTAATTGACCAATGTCTGAATTGATATCTCACTAATCTTTCAAGTCTTTTAACTGTTTAGGTTTATACTAAATATAACGATATATATATTACGTAATTATAGTTAACTATGACGGGCGGATGCGGTCACAATGGGCCATTTATATGACTTACTAATTCCATTTATATGACTTACTAATTCCATTTATAAAGCTTTATAATTAATTACTTACTTAGGCACGTGCGAACGCTGAAACCCCTCGAAGCGTGTGACTGAATTGAATATTATTTTCATAGCTTGATAAATGATTTATAAAGTCTTGTAAATAATATGGTAGCTATATAAATCTATTTTCTAAGTCTTATAAATGAATTATCTAACGAACTAAATATTCGGGAAAGTTCGTACATCTGCCTGGAAATTCCCGAGGATGCTTCGGCCAGCCAATCACAGGTCGTCTTACTGAATGGCAAGCCCCTCCCACTCCCGTCCGCGGTTTTCGAGTTGTGTGCGTCGGTGTCACAGGGCCTACATCATTTTATTCGTACATTTTTTCCTTTAATGGAATTCGGACGCACTAATCTTCCTGCAGAAGATGACCATGGTCAGGATGAGGGTATGTTGTCTTCAAGGGCTTGGGCCCACGCGTGCCGCACAACATCCGACACGATATTTCGGCAAACTCGCAAGAAATTGTGAAAAGAACTACCCCGGTCGGTGGGTGGAGGGGGAGCGGTGACCTTAGCAAAGTAAATTGACGCTAGGATAACTAAAACATGAAAGGTAAAACACCGCTATATGTAACGAGGGATTTGATTGGCCAATTGGCCGACTTAACGAAGGAGTACGGAGTTTGCCGATTATTTTCTAAGTTATATAAATGGATTTATAAGACTTGATAAATAATTACGTAGTTTCATAATTATTTATCAAACTATGAAAATAATATTCAATTCAGTCACCCATTTCGATGGGTTTCAGCGTCCACACGTGCCTAAGTAAGTAATTAATTATAAAGCTTTATAAATGGAATTAGTAAGTCATATAAATTGAATTAGTAAGTCATATAAATGGCCCATTGTGACCGCATCCGCCCGTCATAGTTAACACGCGTTCTTGGTATGTCTATATCTTCTTCTGTATTTAAACATCTGTTTCCTGTTTACAATTTAACATCTCTGATCAAATATTATTATATAATTATTTTAATCCTAAGCTTGTATATATGTTCTATATTCTACTGTAACGTTAGTCTGGTGACCGGCTCGCCCTAGCGATACCTATCTCGTTATTGTGACCGTTAGCCAGTTTTGGACACTCGTTTATTAAAAGTAAAATCTTAACTATTTATCTGAGGTTTTCGTCGTTAGTGTTGGAATAAGCTACAACCCCCAGAAAACAGCACTTCGGCACAAATAACGCTTTAAAGTTGTTTAATGGTTTTGCGATTTATTGAAATTAGGCACAAAGAAATAGAGACTTTTGGCAAGCGGAATTTTCCCATCCGTATCGTATACGTGATACGCTGCGTCAATGTATAGTTTTAGAGTTTTGGCAGATTTTCACGTCGCGTACGTATGCATAGCTGAGCTGAGTTTAGTTCTATTACAGCATAACGGCAGATATCTACCAAGATCACCATCAGTGCTAGTCAAGTGCCTAACCTACAATTTCCCGGAGGTAGTATTTACAGTAAAGTCGTCCGATGTCGCTGAGCTATTAAAAAAAAATCAATGTCGAATCTTATTACACATCTTCGACTTCAACTGACAGCAATTTTTGGTTTCACTAATAATGTATCATTTCATTTCATTTATACCCCTTTACCATAGAATAAAATCATCTACAGATTTGCAAGGTCCCACCTCCCTAAATTTAGCGCGTAGATCAAGCAGCATGCACACAGGAAAAATATGAAAAACCCATTTAAAAATGATTAAATTTCAGTCTTTATCATTGTTAAAATCACAGCAAATATACACCTTCGTGTTCTAGGATACACACTGATTGATAAAAACGCTATGATACAACATTTCGGGATTTAAAAGTAGCAAAAAGGACGGTAAAAAGACGACAATGTTATACGGACCTTTGCCGTATGAAATCTGTTCGATACGTGCAGTCGTATCACGTATGAGAAATACACACACATTGATGACGTCAGACACAAAATCCAAACGGATACGCGATATACGGACCAGAAATTTACGCTTGCCAAAAGTCTCTAATGAATAAAATATTCAACATACCGAATGTCATATGATTCGTCGCCCAGTCATATAATGACCTTAACACTACATTAATCGGTGCATACAAATTATTCGAGAAATAACAGTCATAAGAGACAGATATATTTTGGATGTGTTTTAGGGATTGAGTGGGGTTATATGGTTTTGGTAAGATTCACTATTTTCATTTACTGTTTAAAGATTGGTCTAAATAGTAATTAATGTTACAAAAGTGTGTTATTAATATATACAAACATTATTCACATAGTCTAGTTAAATTACTAAGTGCTTAATCTCAAGCAAAACTTCGCAGTAGTTAAATATATTAAATTATGCACCGAGGTCTTTTACTAATGATCAGTGGTGCAGAACGGAGAGCCAGACAAGGGCAGCTGTCTAATCCTTCGGATGTATATATTGGAATGCACGTAAAAGATCCCCTGGCAGGTGGAATTCGATATAAGAGTAGGCGATAGTGCCGCTGCCCGGACAAAAATTTCCCTTATAGCACACTGTATGGCGTATGCCCGTCTTCATTAACCCAGATAGGAGCAGAACAGTAGGACGTCAAACCTCATTTCATTTCATTTATTTTACTAATGAGCATATTGTTTATTGAATATTTAAAGGAGCTAAGTCGCTAATATTTGGGACCTAGAAATTGACACAAATGGGTCGCAACGCATACAATAATGTAATATGAATGTATATGAATTGATTTACATTCAAACGTTTCTGTTTTTACAGTAATTTTTAATCAGTTAGTTTCGTCGAAATACGTCAGTATTCTCCATCGAATTTCAATCTCTAGCGTCTGGTTATTCCAGTCTACGACAATATTATTTATTGGGCTTGCTGTCCAGATAAGAATATAGCGTCACCGTTTGACATGACTTGTGGAATATGCCTAGCCTCGTTTTTCGAGCCCCTTATTACAAATAGCGCTGAAACGCATTATGGTACACGATTCGTGTACCCATTGTAAAACGTTTATTTTGTCTTAAATATTGGATATCAGAAGGCCATCTTTTCCCGGTAAGATCACAAACATCAATGTTGATTTAAACCGACAAATAAATCGTGTTTTCAATGTCGAAGATTTTGGATGATATTGAGCTAGAGACTTAGCTACTTTAATTGAATGAATGAAATGGCGGTTAGCGTTTCTGCACTAAACGGGCTAATGAAGACTTTACATTTAATTGCATTTGTTCATTATTTGTCACTTAAATAAGGTATATCTGAGCTTAATATACCGAAACACAACGAATACGAACCATAATATAAGCTGTGTCTGGGTTTAAGAAACCCAAACGCAACATTGAATAAGGTGAGTTTTGACATATTGAGACAAAACGAATACGCAACATTGATTAAAGATACATTATGGGAGATTAGATAAAGAGCTGACAGTTCTCGCTATAATAGTTAAAAACTAGATAATGTAAAGGTAATTTGTTGAAACCGAGATAACCGAGATATCAACTTTGTAAATTTCCGCCTATCCTCGTTCATCATTACTTAAGTTAGTACGTTAAAAAGCATCGTCTCGATTATCCTTTGTTTTGATTTAATTATCAATGAGCGTTTGCAGCATATAGGATTCTAATCCAGTCGATATCGAAGGCTAGCCTTGACATCGAGAGTTGATTATGGTCTGGATAAGTTAATTAATGTCTAATTAATAATTTAGATAATATTTCAGGCCTAAAGAAAGACCTGCGATAGGCAGATTTAGCTCTTGCATAATGTATGTTTAAGCTATGCCTGAGTTTAATATACCGAAACGCACCATTGACTAAAGATGCATCATCTAAAGCGGTGGACACTAGCCGAATGATTCGGCCGAATCAATCTGCGTCGAAATTCGCCAAGTGTGTCCACTGTCATTCGGCCGAATGATTCGCCCGAATCAAACAGGTTTGATATATTCGGCCGAATTATATTCGCCTGGTGTGTTCGCTTCGCCGAAGCATTCGGCCGAATATAGAATTCATTAGCCAATCACCACTCATATCGAGAAGTCACGTGATAGATTGAAGACATAGACGCCGCCATGTTTAATCATGTGACGTGAAAGGTGATGCAATCGACAGGTTGAATCGGGCGAAGCATTCGGCTAGTGTGTCCACCCATTCGGCCGAATAAAATTCGGCGCCGATTGATTCGGCCGAACGATTCGGCTTATGTGTCCACTGCTTAAGAACTAAACCTGTGTATTACAGATCTTTATGCTGGCATCAAATAAACTATTATTTCGACATTTATAATAACAAGCTCATAACCAAACTTTCTAAACCGTCGGATTGCGGAGATTTAAATAAATTAAAACACCCGTTAGAATAATAATAATTAAAACATAACGCTGAAATAGAAAACCGAGACTATGTCTCGCTTGTCAAGTATCGTTGCTAAGATAATAAACACCCTGCGGTGCATCTAGCAATTTGTTTAAAGCACAGATTCCCTTTCGTTTTGTTTTTTATAGTTCAGAGAACTAGCATGCTGCAGCGAGTTGTTGGCGTGTGGTGAAGGGAATGGTGGGTAGACAAAGATGAAGCAAAAGTTGTATTTGAAAATTGATTGGTAAATCAAATGTTTGACGTCAAAGGGTCATAAGCTGCTCGTATGGCCCTCTGAATCGCCCCCCCCCCCCCCAACACTACAACCGGTCA